GGATACATGCGGGATACATAGCGTTGTGCACGGGATACATGCGGGATACATAGGTAAATAAGGGATTTTTGAAATAAGTAGGGATAAATGGATATTAAGGTAAGTAAAGGAGTGTAGTTAAGTAATTTGTCCTATTTTTATTCCTTGTTGTATTTGATGTGCCTATACAAAAGCTTCTGCTTATAATACATAGTCACATCACATACACTCAATTGTGACTTATGAGCATAATTCTTTTAATAAAATTATTCACTAAAGATTAAAGCTAAATATTGGCTGTAAAATACTTTGACTAAATTTCTAAAAGAAAAGGGAGATAATAAGGAAAATAAAACAACACTAAACTATGGCAATTAGTGGGAGAAATCGAGTCTAAATGCAAATAGTAGGCACATACTTATAGGAGAGACCAAGGTAGGTATGTACGCGGCGTCTTGATATAAATTAATTTGTATTAAAAATAATAATATTTGAAGTTAAGTAATAAAAATGTATTTCGAAATTGATATTATGTTTGGATACGAAAATACAATTGAATTTTGTGAATAAAAATTTTAAAAACTCATAAAACCAAATTTTCGATTTTCATAAACAAAAAAGTAATTGAAATATTCTTCAAATATTTGAAATATCTGAAAAATTATATATGCATAAATGGGTAGTTGGTGTTTTATGTATTTAAATTTTAGCTATTTTTTCACCAAAATAAGAAATTTCTAATTTCATTAAAAAAGGGATTTGGACCCGAAATTAGACTTTCTGAATTACTAGGGTCCCTAAGCTACGAAAATTAATTAGCCCCAATCACCTATCTCTCAACCTTAATTTATTTAAATATTATTATATTTTTTCGATAAAATAATCCCACCCCATCTAATTCTCTGCTTCTAATTTTTTTTTTCTCATTTTATGTTAGATATATGCATATATTTTTAGGAAAATATTTTTTACTTGCCACAAAAAATTTTTAAAAATAAATCTTTTTTAAAAAAACATTTTTCTAAAATATATGTACATATCTAAAACAAAATGAAAAAATATAAATAAATAAATAAATTTAGAGTGGACGGTTTTAGATAGGGTGAGGTAGATTTTTTCTTTTTTAAAATAAAACAATATCATTTTTTATGGAATGATTGTGGGGCGGGGTTGAACTGTGAAATATGAATATTTTTAAAAATATTTTATGAAAGAAATTTTGAAAAAAAAGGACGAGAGATTGTCGTGGGGTGGGGGGTAGAGTGGGTAAGATTTTTTTTTAGGGATAACAATACTTTAATCTTTAATTAGTACTAATAATTTATTATGTAATTTTTGTTAATTTTATCTATGTGGCAAGATTTTTTCATACAAAAGAAAACACACACCACTGATGTGTGTTTCTCAAACTAATAAGTAATAGTTTAGGTATGAAACATACACTCTTCATAATTTAGATATAAAATTAAAAAAACAAAAATTAATTGTGTTTTTGATGCTTATATCTCAAAAGTATTAGTATTTCATTTGGATTGTTTAACTAATATTGGTAATTTAGTTAAATATCTCGCACTTAGATTGAAAAAAAAAACGTGATTATATCATTGATCATAGTTCCAAATTCAACATTTATTTTTCAGATTAAAAAAAGAAAAGAAAAGGGAAACCCATTCAACCTTATTTCAAATATACTTCATTCATCAAAGTTTTACTAATTCTAAACTTTGACTCTATATATAAATTGGGGATGAGGGTGTGAAAAATATCCTAACTTTGGTCGGATTTGCTGTTGCGATACTAAACTTTTATGAGGACCTATTACTTCCCTAGACTATTTAATACCGTATTTTAAACATATTTTTGCCCATGTGGACATAAAAAATAATGCAAAATTATAAATAGTAATATGTCCACATGGGCATAAATATACCTTTAAATACACTATTAAATAGTTCAGGGGGTAAAAAATACAGTATTAAATAGTCTAGGGAGGTAATAGGTCCTCATGAAAGTTTAGTATCGCAACAGCAAATCCGACCAAAGTTGGATATTTTTCACACCCTTATAAATTGCCAAACACACATGTAACCTTCAGT